CGGCTTCCAGCCCGGGAGCCTCCACTCCATAACTGTGTCCCCTCCCGACTCATGCAAGGTCCTGCTGGCCATCTGCAGGTGGTGACCTGGGGCAGCCCCTGTCCCTGCCAGGCGCTCACCGCTCTGTGCCATTCAGTTCTCGTGCTGGGGCTGCTCTGCTGGTGATGAGCCAGAGGGGTGTGCGCTGCGAGAGGACCCCCAAACTGGGTGGGGCGAGGGTGCAATCTCTGAGCAGCTCCTTCCGTGGTGTCCAAACTTGACCGCTGATCCCTGCCATCCACCCGACCTCATAAGGAAGAGCAGTCTGGGGACCAGCAGTTAGCGTAATGGCTGTCACTGGACTCCCATGTAGTCGACCACAGTTCGAGTCCCGGACCCGGTGGCTTGAACTCACGCCGGGCGCATGTGCGTGCGTGCCCAAGATCCTGAGAGGAAAATGGAAGAGACGGGATTGCGGCGTGGCCATCCCCCCTGGGGGTTGATTTCTCTCTTTCTGTCTCTCTCTGTCTGTCTGATGAGCGCATGCGCCCTATAGCAAAAGCCTCTCTAAAAAGAAAAATAAAAAGAAGAGCAGTTTGTCCTAGTGCAGCCGGGTACTCGACATGTGTTCCCAGTGCTCGGGCCGCATGCCAGGGCATGCTCTGGGTTAAAGGTATCACTGTCCAGGCTTAGAATTGAGGTGGGTATCCTGTGGCTCCAGGTCACCGCAGCTGCCTCCGGGCTTTCTCTGTCCCCTCACTCTGGCAGTCCCCGGCTCACTCAGGTCACATCGGGCAGACAGATGGGCCTAACTTCTCGGTGTGGTGAACTGCAGCCAGGGGGCCAGGGTACTCGGCAGGTTCTGTCATCCAGCACAGTGTGAAGATCTGGAGCCTCCTGCAGCTGCTCTGCCTCTGGGCCTGAGAGACGGCGTTTGCCCAAGGGAGCGCACCGGCAGCTGAAAGGGGGTTTTCAGGCTGTGCCACCTGACGTGTAGGTGCCCCAGCAGCCCCACTCTCTCTGACATGCCCCAGGATGGCGGCACATGCCTCTTTCCATCCCGGAAAGACCCCGCGGGTGTCCTGTATGCCCCTGCAGGAAGGCAGCGGGGGGCTGGCCCATGGGTGTGCACCTGGCCCTGCAGGGCCCACTGGGCCACAAGCCTCAGTGTACTGTGGATCCCTGGGGTGTCTGCGGCTGTGGCAGTTTCCCGACCTCCTCCGAGTGTCTCCCAGACTGCTCTCTGGCTCTTGCTGAGAGGCGGGTCTGGCCCTGTGCTCAGGGGGGCCCTGGCTTTTCTCAGTCCACAGCTCAGTCTGCCCCTCACCCCTTCACTGTCACGTGTACCTGGGGCCTGCAGCCACCTTCATGAGGGCTCCTGGCCTGTGCCCTCACTTCTGCTGTCCCTCAGCCAACTCGAGCCCCCTTCAGAGCTCCGGGACCACTCCCTGCAGGTGCCCTGGCCTCACCCTGTGCCTGTGCCCAGGGCTCTCTGCAGATGGTGTGCTGGACCTGTGAGCCCTCACCTGGCCCGGAGGGGACCGTGTGCTGGATGCTGTCTGACATTTGTCCCAGAAGGCTCAGCCCTAGCCCGCAGGAGAACCAGCCTGCTCTGCCCTGGCTCCACAGCTTCTGCAGGGAGGCCACGCAGAAACCCAGCCCTCCCCCATGTCCCCCCTCTGGACGGTCCCAGCAGAGGCTGTCACTTAGTCTAAGGCTCCGTGTTTCCCAGTTGTCCAAGTCCTCTGCATATCCGTGCTCACTGATTAGAGCTTGTGTCTGCGAGGGAGGCAGGCAAGCAGCTGCCCCCAAAATACTTCTAGAACGTTTGCAGGAAGGGCCATGGTAACCGAAGACCTTGGTGACGCCTGGGGCTGCTCCAGGTGGCTTTGGAGGGGTGCGCAGCGCGGCCTGGCATGGAGTAAGTCTAGGCGTGTTGCAGGCACGATGGGCAGTGGGTACAGCCTGGGTTTCTCAGAGCACTACAGGGTACTGGGGTCCTGGGCGAGTCGGGGTGTGTCGAGTCACCCGCTGTTGTTGAACAGGGGTTGGCCTGGGCTGCTCCGTGGGTGCTTTTCTGGAAAAGCCCTCCTTTCTCCCCTCTCGCAGACAGCCGAGACTCTGCAGCCCACCCTGCAGCCCGAGATGCAGCTTGAACACGGAGCAATCCAGATCCAGTGAGCGGGCGCTGACCTCCCTAGGATTGCGCCCTGCCTGGTGCCAGCCCCTGCCAGCCCGGCCTCTGCGGGCCCGTACCTGCTGTGCCTCCACACAGGAGACCCCGCACCTGTCCTGTGAAGGTGCATCTGCCGGCCGCCGCCTCCCCGGGACTAGCCTCGTAACTCGGAGATCGTAAGGCCCATGTGCCGCCCCATGGAGACCCGTCCTCAGAGTCCTGCTGTCGGTGTCCAGGCAAGACCTCGCAGTGCATCGTACTCTGGTCACACATGCAGGTCAAGAACGATGATATTTTTCTGTTAAACAGCTTTTTTAATTTGCTATGGTGTTTATAACAAAAAAGAAAAAAATACAAAAAACCCCCAGGAACAGCAGAGGAGTCGTGAGAGCCGTTTGTGTGTGCCCTGCTCCGTGTGCAGAAGCAGGCGTGTGCAAGACAGCCGGCAGTTTGGATGGAAATATTGCTTATCTACTTTTCTAGAGGGACATGCTCTCAGATGCTGTGATTATGCATTTCTAACAAAATAAAATGTATTTATGGCCACAGCCACTTTTCTGCGATTTACTCTTGACAGCTGGCCCCCGAGGGCTTCCCGGCATGCTCGTTTCCGGGCCTGTGTACTGGCGTGCCTGCCATAGCCCACGTCCCTGCTCACCACACTGAAGGTGCCGGCGGGCATCCTGGGGCAGCCCGAGTCCCTCTTCCGACCCCAGGGAAGTGTGCATTCTCACCATAGCTGGCGTGCTGAACCCACGGACCTCCCCCAGCCCCTGGGGAGGCCCTCCTGGGAGTCCTCAGAGGAGGCTGGGTCTGAAGCAGAGAAGATAGTTCCAGGCAGAGCTGCCCAAGTGGTTGAGCGCCATGTGGCCAGCGTGGCCTGGTCGGCTTCTCTCCACACCACTGTGCACCATGTAGGTGGGGCCTGAGGTCCTGTGAGGTCTGGAGCGCATTCCTGGCCACCATCTGAAGGCTGCCGCCCATGCAGCCCCCGAGGCCAGGACTGGGGGCACGGCACGAGCTGCTCCTCAGTGGGGTACTGGAGGAGAGCGGGTCGGTACCGGGACAGGTGCCTGAGGTGGCCATCCCGAGGATGAAGGGTGGAGGCTGGAGTGAGGAGCCTCGTTAGCACGCATCTGACGGTCTCCCGGAAGAGACAGCAGGGCGGGGGAGCTCGGAGTCGGCAGCTGGAGAAGTGGCAGGAGATGGAAGGTACTGGCCACCGGAAGTAGTCTGAGAGAGGACAGACCTGCAGCGTGGCAGGAGGACCCGGCTCTGCCCAGGGCACCTGGGAGAAGCATCGTGTGGGGTGACAAGGTGCCGTCTGCCCCGAGAGGACCGAAGCTTCGAACGTGGCTGGCAGTGTCCATCCTGCTAGCCGTGCGCACGCCATCCCCATCGTGTCTGCGAGGTGGGCATCGTGGCCTCTCCCAGGGAGTCCTCGCCACAGGAGATGGAGCTGAACCTGCACAGCGGCGTGGAGGGGCCTGGACCTCTGGGCCGCGTGAGCGCAACCACACACCAGCTCTCAGTGTAGCATCCATGCGGTGACGTCCGAAGGGCCGGGTCACAGAGCAGGGAGCACCAGGGATGCCAGGCGTGGGCGTGGCTGTGCCCTGCAGTCACAGGCCTCACAGCCCCCTGTGAACTCGCCAGTGCTCACTGAGTCCTCGTGGGAAGGGGTGAGTGTGCACCTGTGTTATGTCGGCACCTGTTAAAAATAAAGGATTGGATGGCATTTGGGGAAAAAATACTGGAGTGTGGGGACCAACAGGTGACATGGTGGTTAAGGCCCTGCACACTCCCACATGGCTGACCATGGTTCAAGTCCTGGACCTGGTGGCTTGCTTTCTCACTTTCCCTCTCTCTCTTTCTCTCTCTGTGTGTGTCTCTCTCTGATCAAGTTTAAATAAATGAATAAATAAAAATTAAATTAATAATTTTAAAAAAATACTGGAGTGCGTCCCTTGCAGATGGCACCTCCTTGTGAGGAAGTTGTAAGGGATTTTTCTCCTGGAGCAGGAATTCGAGTCCAAAAAGGTTTTCAGAGCAGGACGGAGGTAGGGGAGTGCATGCAGCACGGCACTGAGCCACTGGAGTGACACCGGGGTGCCAGGAAGCGCCACTGTAACTGGGACAGGCGGGGAGGCACAGCCGCCTCGGAGCCCCCTTCTGCCTGGAGGACAAGGCTCCAGGTCTGGAGCAGCGCCTCTCCTCAGTCTGTTTCCGTGACACGTGAGCAGCACAGCGGGTGAGGGTGCTGAGGACATGCAGAATGCCGGGCGTCGAGCGAGCGCGCCCTGAGCGGCAGCTGTGGCCCGGGCTTCCGCAGCCCCGGCGCCCTTGACTCTCAGGTGCTCTTTGGAACTCGGCCCGGATCGGTCCTCTCCCAGGAAAAAAGCAAGTCACGTCACACAGGGGCCTGGAAGCAGGCGGCTCATGTTCTCCGCCCACGTGGGGGAGCCACGGCTGATGAGAAAAAGTGGGTAGAAAGTCTACGGATGTCTCCGAGTTGGATGATACGCGTAAATCGCCCACAGGGCAGATAGATAAAAATGGACATACGAAGGTATTGTTAATGGAGTGGCAGATACGATGACCTGGAATACCAACTTTGGAAAACTTAAACAGTAGTGGACTTTGGGACCAGCAGATGGCGTAATAATTAAGTCGCTGGACTCCCACATTATCGACCATGGTTTGAGTCCTGGCCCCAGGAGCTTAAAACTCATGCCGGGCTCATGTGTGTGCCCAAGATCCCTAGAGGAGAGTGGAGGAGAAGGGATTGCGGTGTGGCCATTCCTACTAGGGGTTGATTTCTCGCCTTTTGCCTCTGTCTGTCTTTCCGACGGGCACATGTGTCCTATAGCAAAAAAACCTCTCTAAAAAACACCTAGTCGATCTTAACAAAATGCTGACTGGGTGCAGCCAAGACGACTGAGGCTGGTCATTTCAGAAGGCTGGCAGGACTTGGGAGCACGGTATGCAGCACAGGGTCGGAGCGCCCGCGGGAGGGTGGCTGGCACCGACATTACTGGGAAACCTCCACCCCTCACATTGCTCCGCGAGGAAGGGACCTTCACATCTCGTGTGTTTATGAAGTCTCATCTGTGCTTCAAGTCTCGCGAGAGGCCGTGCCCGGGCTCCATGCTGGCGGCGGCGTGCTCCACGTTTTGGGGAAGCAGAGCAACCCTCCGCGGGCTCCCGTGGACCCAGCGCGGGCTCACGGCCACCTCGTGTCATGACGTAGCACGACCCTGACACCCTAGCCTGGCCGGCGTGTTTCCGACAAATGCGGGAGGGCCGTGGGCAGGAGTGGGCGTCCGAGCACACCCAGTCTGGACGCCGGCGGGTCGGTAGGCTGTGCCAGAACTCCCGTCATGGACCACGGCACGCGACATCCTCTGTGTGGCTTCAGCGAGCACAGCAGCGTGGAGACTGCCCCGCGTAGACCGGAGACGCCTCTCCCCAGAGCTATCGGGCCAGCTCCGCCAACATCCCCTGGCAGAGGCCTTGAGGCACCAGATGGTTAAAGGTGGAAGTTTGGAAGCCAGAAGGGAGACGGGCCACATCTGCCAGGCGTGTGCTTGCACGTGAAGGAAGTCCAGGAGACGCTCACGTGCTGTTCAAAGCAATTGCATGAACTTAGCCTAAAGGCCAAGACACAAGAATCCAATTTATTTCCAAACTCCAGAGCCACACGATAACGATCTTGCAAACGCTGAGCAACGCCAGCTGTATAGAATTAATCTAACACCAGGTATCCCGGACAGAAAGCTATAGAAGGTTGAAGAGAAGGGAAGGGAACAAGCGTGGAGGGACGCAGCCTGTCCGGGATGGGAGCCTCGATCCCGGGAAGACGTTTCTCTAAGCGCGGGGTTGGTGCAGCTCCTACGAGCCCCGGCAGGGCTTGTCCTGGACTGGCTAGAGTGTGCGGCGGGTCCAGGACAGCAGGCAGCTGGGAGGAGCCACTCCAGAGGGGTAAGTGCTACCAGCAGCGGGCGGCGGCAAGACCCTTGGCATGGGAGCAGACGTGGCCTCCACCTCTGGCTCCCAGCGTCAGAGCGGGCCTTCACCGTGTCCGGCCCCCGGGAGGGCTTGTACAGGCGGTCGCTGGCCAGGACCCGGCTGCCCAGGGCAGTATGGCCATGTCACGGAGCACTGGGCTGGCCACATGGCGAAGCAGAGCTGTCCTGGCTCCGTGGTGGGGCCGAGGCCGCTGACTACCGTGGCCCTCGAGTTGGAGCCATGTCCCTCGTCCAGGGAGACGCACATTGAAGCATGCCCTTCCCACAGAGGTGGCCGAGTACACTGCTCCCTGGCTCCCCGGGTGGCTTCGGCCTGGGGGCTGACTTCCCAGTGGACTTGGCTGTGGGCACCAGGCAGAAGAGCAGCAGGCCAGGGCACTCCTTCCCCTTCCCTGGCTGTGTTCCCCGGGTCTGTGCCACAGGTAGGTTTAGGGGTGATGCCTCCTGGAGGGACCTGAGTAACACTGCACTGAAGTCTGGGACCCCGGGGGTGCCCACTCCCTATACAGCCTTGTGTGCTTCGCGTGTCATGGGTGGACGTGGTTAGAGTCAGCCAGAGCCCAAGCGCCACACAGACGGCAGGGGCGGCCATGCAAACAGCCCTCTAGGAACTTCCGTGTGCCCAGGGGCTAGGCTGCATTGCGGTGCGTGCTCCAGCCCCACGTCACGGGCTGGGGTCACTGAGCTTAGCGGGACCCACCCGGCTGCCGGCAGCTGCCTTTGCTCAGGGCTTGCTTGGCCGCGCAGTGAAGGGACCCCCTCCCTGCTGTCGCCCTGCATCCTGTGTCTCCCAGGGCCACACCTTGTCTTGGACCCACAGGACCTCGGATCCGTCTGCTGCTTTCACATTCCAAGCAGCTACCTGGTCTGCTCCGCCTATCCAGAGAGACACAGCCCAGTTGGGCCTGTGTCCCCAAACCCGTGGCTCCACCACTGGGCAGGGAGCCTCCCTCCAGAGCCAGCGCCCCTGCTGGGAGAGCTGCTGCGAGGGGAGAGGACAGGGAGGAGACAGAGGCAGGCTGCATGGACTCTTCTCCAGGCAAGGGTGGGCCAGGCCACACAGGATTCCTGCACGCAGTGTGTGCGCCCAGCAGGTCCCGGCCTGGCCAGGTGTCCTGAAGCCATGAGCAGCCCGAGATGCCCAGCAGATGTTATGTGCTAGGGCAGAGCTCAGACCCCAAGCGCCGGCATTTCCCAGTGCAGTGCGCCCCGAGATGCAAAGCACCACCCCCCTGTCCCCACCAGCACCAACAGACCCCAGGCCTGGCCAACATGGAGAGCATGGCTGGGGGACCGGCTCGGGCCCGGCGGTGGGGGAGAATGCTTTCCAGGTGCAGCTGCAGCTGCAGCTTTAGCCGTGCTTGTGTGAAGAGCCGTCCCAGGGCACTGCTGTGCCCGGCAGCCGCCACACAGACAGGCCGTACCAGCGTGGACTGTGGACGCCCCCTGGCCAGGGGGGGGGCGTGCGGCTCACCCTGCCATGGCATGCAGGAGAGTTCCGGCCTGCGCTGGCCTCCGGG